TTTTCTTATTCAAATGGGATATTAATATTAAAATGACAACAAATGCTTTTTGGTGTTGACCAAAAAGAAATAAATATAATATTTATTTTAGCTTAGAAAAATAATCTTCTTATCTTTTAGATTCTTAATCTTTTGAGAATTAATCTTCTTATATTTTAATTCCCTTTGACAAAATCTTCTTAGAAGTGAGTTATATTATAAGTCTTGAGATGGAGATTTTTAATCAAGCATTAATTATCTTTTTTTTCTTATTTGTATTCTTTTATATTTAAAAGATTTCTCATCTTTAACAAGCAATGTTATCTATAATAATATAATTAATCTCTTGTCACTATCTTGTAAAGTTGATTAATATTATTTAAAAAAAGAAGATAATTTTATTAAAAGTTAATCAATAAAAAAAGATTACTTAATAATTAAATCATTTAAATAAAAAGAAGATTTCTGAACTTATTCTAGTAGTTCAACAAAATGAACACATTGTTATTTATCTTTATTAAATTAGTCTCTTCCAACTTTAATTATCTTAAATATATAAAAATCTTTAATAACTCTCCCACTTAATTGAAACATGTGAAGAAGATATAATCTATATTTGAAAGATAATAAAATCAACAAAAATAGTAATAATAGTTTGAAAAAAATTTCTAAAGGAAAAATTGATAATTTAAATGATATTCATAAAGAAAATAATTATTATTTAATAATTAATAATAAAAATAATAAAATTTTAGAAAAAGATATATTTAATTTAAAATTTGATAAAAAGAAATAATTAATTTGTTTAATTATTTTATTTATGATAGTTTATTTACAAATTATTAATTTAGATATAAATTACTTGTAATATAAATAAAATTTTGATATTTTAAATAAAAAAATTTTGATATAATTAAATATTTTCAATATAAAATTATTAATATATTTTTTTTAATATTATTGTATTACTTTAATAATATCAAAATTATTTACTTATACTAAAATTTTTTGATAATGCTAAAATTATTTATTATATCAAAATTTATTGTGTCATTTTAATATTACTTTAATAATGTCAAAATTACTTATTTATGTCAAAATTCTTTGACAATACTAAAATTATTTATTATATCAAAATTTATTTATTGTGTCATTTCAGTATTACTGCATTATTTCAATAATAATAATTATTACTTATAATAGAAAATGTAACTATAAAATAATTTTTTTACTATATTTATATTTAAATAAAAAAGCAAAATAGAATAATTATAAAGAGGTGTAACTATAAATGAATGTGATTATAAAGAAGTTTGACTGTATAATCATAATATTAATACACATAATATAAAATATTATTATAAAGTATTTAAATATAATTTAAAACTATAATCATAATATTAATATACATAATATGAAATATTATTATCTTGTAATTAATATATTATATTGCAATTTTTCATATATTAACTTTGAATATCAATATATTTACCAATATTATTTTAATTTTGTTAATTTAAATACAAAAATATTTATTTTAATTATAGGATTATAAATCACAAAAATTTGATTAAGTATTTCAAAAATATAAATATTCAATAATTCTATACAGATTCAATATGAAATCAAACCAAAAAGAAATATTCATTATAAAAAGAAACATCAAATACTTATATTCATGTTAGCAATGGTGTTATGCAGAATTCAGCCAATCATTGAATGTGTTACAGATATAGGGATCTTGCTTCTAATTAAGATTTTCAATGTCGATCAATATATATCGATGTTATAGACCTGCTCTACGTATACAAGAACAAGTGTAAAAAATCGCAACATTAGTTTAAAATAAAAAAAAACAGTAAATATTTGAGTGTTAGTTACTTTTTGTTCCTCTAATAAATACATCGTCATTATTCGAATATTTCGACTTCACAATAATTACCTTTTTCTGTATTATTATCTTTGTTAACATTAAGCAGATCCTGAACACTTTATTTCCCAAAATGCAGTATATTATTCTCTGGTAGATGGCGAAAATTTAATATGAATATTATCGTTATTGTTCTATTCTTTAAGCTATATATAGTATTTTAACGTCATCATGACTGCAATTTGTACATTAAACTGAATGTGAATGGCAACCAAATTAAATTCTAAATTTGGATGCATATCACGTTTCATCAAAAATCGATCTCTAAAATTCTTTTCCAAAAGATATTTGAGATCCAAAAAAAAAGTCATCATAAATTCTCGCATATTTCTTTTTTCTTCATGTTTATTATTGACAAAGAAAACGAAAGAAAGGGAAAAGGGATATTATTTAGATTTTACTTGAGGTTGACTGACCGACTGTCTAAATGATCTCTACTAGAAATGACATAATCAAATGTTTACAAAATAATAATTAATCTTTTCGTGATTGTATATAGATTGTGGATTATATTGCTCGATCGTATCTTGTTTGTTTGTTCTTTTGGTGGATTTGTTTTTTTGGTGGATTTGTTTCTTTGGTGGATTTGTTTCTTTTGTTTGCACTGAGATTGGATTGCTTTCTTTAATTAGCGCCTCTTTCTCGTATAGTGATAAAATAATAATAAAATTAACAATAACAATAATAAGAATACTAATAATAATAATAATTAACATCGTTGGTACAGATATCGTCACATTTACACAAAATTTAGGCTGTAATGTTGAATAAAAAAGAAATTTTTGTGGATTAGTAAAACTTTAAGATTTGACTATCAACGAGTTGGATACAAGTATACGTACATCTAGGGGCTTCCTTATATGAAATTGCAGCTTCTTCGCCCATAGCACTGATAATAGTAACTAAAAGTTCTTTGCCTTTAAAAAAAAGAAAAAAAATATTACAATTTCGTATGAACCCCAAAGATCTCCAATAAGCGAAACAGCAACAATACTCACCTTCATCAAAATCGGACTGGATCTTCTCTCCTATTTCCGCTTCCGGAACACGAACATCATCTTTAGTGCTACCGTCGCTGGTCATTAGGCTCAAAAATCCATCATCAATATTCAAGAGTTGGTATTCAGTGCCTATTTAATAATAATAATAATAGTATTATTATTAAAGCGGAAAGGGAAAATATGTTATCATGGGGTACAAAAAGTTTGATAACACTTACGAGTAACATTTGGAACATCCATGTTGTGAGTAGACGGAGAGATATCTTATAATCACAATATTAGTAGAAATGTAAAGTAATAATAATGAGATCAAAAATTGGGTAATTCATACGTAACAATAAATTTTTCATGATATAAACCTTCGAGTTTTTTTCCAGTAAAAATGTCAAGTCCGACAAGATGGACTTTCTATATTTAGACAAGGGATTAAAAAATTTTTCTTTCAGATGGATTTCTCCGATGTGTATTTTATGGAGAAATGAATTATCGTAAATTATGCTAATAATGTGCCTTACCGCATGTCCATGCTTACCAGTCTTACTGGTGCTCATTTCTACTATTTTACACGGTCTATTCTTAAGAAGAACATAACCATTCTTTTTGAAAGAAGAAAAATTTTCGAGGGTTTCCCCAGGTTAGAATAACTTAAAAAAATTTTCAACTACTTTCTCTTCTCTTTGCATCCCCTTTACATTTAAAAAAACCCCGCTTGGATTCAGACACACATACCTTTCTAAGAGCCGAGCACTGAACAGGATACGTAGCCGAGGCCCCAGATCCAGCTTCTTGAAAATCGTGATGTTGATGCTCTTCGTCAGCCATTAAATTAGAGTGAGGGGATAATAAAAAGTTTTTTTTTGTACAAAAGAAAATAAAAAAAGGATGATGGCGATTTGGGGGGCAAAGAGTGAGGGGTGCTACAGAACTAGCTTTTTATATTACTATAATATGCACGAAATACAGATTTCACCCTCGATATGATGATGATCAATCTCCGGCATATATATACTCTTTGTTGGAGATGTAGAGATAGATATACTTGCTGGTGTCACATTACATGGTGTGGATCACGAACACGGGATTATGTCCTTTATCCTAGACATATTTAATAAGTGATGGTTAACATGCTCGCCCTAGCCGCGAGCAAATTCGACCAGAAATCTTTTAGCTGTGTGTAACAGTTTAAATTGGTTTGCATTGTATCCGACCCAACATTATTAGTAGTACACGCACACACTTCGATGATCAACGATCAAATTCGACTCAATGCTAATAATTTATTAATTGTAAAATCTGAGAATGTTAATTAATTGATCAGATGAGGTGGCAATAATGGCCCTATCTTTATCGCGATTGGATATTAAGGCAACTTTCGATCTCTCCGTCATTTCGCAAAGAGCTTCTCGACGAAGAGATTATATAAAGATCGTCGTCATGAGATTTGAAAGATTATTATTGATAGACTTAAGTCATTATACGAGCGAAGACCCGCCTTAGATGATTTTTTATGCTACATATCTCGAAAAGATTATGGAATCGCAAAGTAAATAATCATCGTAAGTTTGGGATGGTAAACCCCGGGTATATTCGCCAAAAACCGAATTCCATTATTGTGTCTTCGCAGATACAAGATTGTTATAACCTCGTGGTTATATCTTAATCATCGAAAGCCTCCCGAACATCGGCCAGCAAATGAAATTATAATAATTTAATATAATTGCCCGCGAGAATCAAATCAACTCGGGGATCCAATCATTACACAATAAAATATTTTAGATACTATTACACGAACCTCGTTTTTGTGTTAAGCCATGCCATCCCACCATTAAATTGATTTATTATGATCTAATGTTATTATAAACAACTCTTCTTAAATGATTATTGATTGTTTCAAGTAATGCTATATGTATGCATTTTTTTAGGGTCCAATGTTATATAAAGATAATAAAGCACAATAGTAATATAAGGGGAAATAGTACATACTTATATAGGATTGATTAGATAAGATATAATATTCCATATAGGTTTTTGCATCCAACAGAGTTTATTATTAATTTTCAAGACCATCTCGATTATTATATGCCTCATCACTACTGCTACTTCCATATTTTTTGACATCATCTTCACTTCCACGACGACTTCCAATTCGATTTTGGCTTCGACTGGTTGATCTCGATGCCAATCTTTTACTCACAGCGACACCATCATCTTCAAATTCATCATCATACTTTTTGGTTGCATGTTCAGGATCTGACGATGACTCTCGACTTGTTGGACGTGGAGTTGTTGATCTGCCTCGCCTTGGGGTAATTGTGTCCGAGATTTTTGTTGAATCTTTGTCAGTTTTTAATACTGATTTACTAGACAATAACAAACCATTATTTCCGATAGTACCTTCACGTCTACTGCGTCGAGAAGGATTGAAATGATTACATTTTGGACATAGATACTGAAGATCATCAATTTCCTGTGGTAAAACCAAGCCATTATGAACATGACAATTCTCACAGATCAATGCGTATCTTGTGTCAGGGCCTTCATCACCGACAATTACGTCCACGAGTTTATCATACCAGCGTCGTTGTAGAGGAGATGCATGTTGAATGGATGATCCAGACGGAATATCACCACCTTCAAGGATCGATGCTTTTGGCATATCACCGTTTAATCCATTGGCGGTGTTATTTGATGGTATTGGAGTAGATTGTGAATGAGCAGGACGTTGTCGAAGATTTTGGTTAGATGGTGTCTGTCCTGGTCGAAGAGTCGGTGTTTTTGATCCAGAGGTGAGTGAAGGTGGTGGTCCTTGCGGACTTTTGGGTGAATCATATCTTTCAAGGAGTGTCTTTGTCGTATAATAACCAGTTTTCTTTTTCAATTCTTCGACTTTTAATTTTTGTTTTGCTCTAAGATGTCGCAGTTGTGATTCTTCATTTGTTTCATTACGCTTATACCATATTGCCATCAAATTCTTTACAATCAAGATGAGCGCCGGCACGGTGAAAACAGGTGCCACTTTAATCGCCCATACATCCCAATTATCACTTTCTGGTGTCTGCCCCGCGAAATACAGATATCCAATCACATAGATAATATAAATCAATGTAGAATTTACAAGCCAAATAATCATGGCACGTCTTTCTCGAATTTTTATTTCGGCAAGACGCACCTCGGCCAGCCGAATACTATTATCGAGCTCAGACAATATTTTTTCATAGTTATCGTCTTCCTTTGATCGAAATCGTGAAATTAAGCCTCCCATATTGACCCAAAAAATAGATATTTTATTTTCACAAATAAACTAATAAATACAATGAGAGATGCTCAATTACCGTATATATATGTGTGTGTGTATGTGTTTTTTTAATTTTATTAATTAAATTGATGATATCTTTTATCTCTGAATTTGGTAGTTTGTGGAGGATATAATAACGATAAGACTAGAAAGAGAAACAAAGAGAAAAGCTGAGAAAATACGAGGAATAAAAAGTTTGGATTAGTGATGACGATGATAAGCAACTTTTTTGTGTATGATGCTAATCAACGACCTTTTTGGCGTTTAGTTAAAGTCAAGTGTGAACACGCACTGATGTAACCACGTATAATGATCGTGTGTAGGTCTGCTTGGTATAATAATGGAGAACCAACCAACAATGGGCACGACGATCGTGATACAATATTTGTGTATTGTTTATTTATTTATTCTAAAAATGATTTACAGAGGTTGGAATACTAAGATCAAACGCGGAAAAAAAGCCTCTTACACAATTAATTGTGATGCAACACGATCTTCAAATCACAAATGATTTTCTCTTATCTATATACCATCAGCCTCATTCACCATAACTCTTCTCTGGTAATTTATTACCGAGGATTTTCCACGTGTCATATAATTTTTGAGGGAATTCAGCGAATGCTAATTTTATAACAATAAAATTTCAGACAATATTAAAAATGATCCAACGTCATAACATATGTCTTATTCATTAATCACCTGATACGCTTGTTCCATCGGGACCAATAGTTCATGTTTGACATTGATTTTTTTCACTTTGACCAAATGATTGGCTTTTTTCAACATTTCTTTAAAATGCCTCGCCTAATATTAATTATGATAATTGATTAGTCGTCATTAAACCAAACAAAAGATGAAATTATAAATAAACCTCTTGAGTCTCAATGAGTGAATAAGCCTCGCCTGCTCTGCCAGCACGTGCCGTTCTGCCGACGCGATGCACGTACTTTTTCATGTACAAAGGAACGTCATAATTGATTACGGTATCCACGCAATCCAAATCAATTCCACGTGCAATCAAGTCTGAGCAGATTAATCTTTTTTAGGGAATGATTAGAACATGTCATGAAACAAATCAGAATGAGAGAAAAGAACACACACATGTGGATCTTTCCCGCCTTGAATTTATTTAATATCTGAATCCTTTCTTTTTTTGACAAATCGCTCGAATATTCAGTCGCAACTATCTGCTTTTCGTCGATGTCTTTGTTGTCATTGTCACTGGGTTTCCCTGCATTATTAGAGAACGAAGCTTCAAAAAATTGAATTAACTTTGAAAGACGATGAGCCGATTCGACTGATTTCGTGAAACAAAGTGCCGCGGAAATGTGATAATTATGTAAAAGATGAAGAACGACAAGAGGTTTTTCTGAAGATGATGTGATTATCATGTATTCCTACATAATCATCAATTATGACGGAAGAATTATAAGATTTATCAGCGCAAATAGAAGTTTACTTATTTGCCGACTTGGAGATTAAATTAAAAAGTACCTTCAGGCTGCTTGGTAATGTGTATTTGATCTCGTTTTGTGGTTGTTCTTGTTTTTGGTCGTCAGTGGATGACTGGATCGCAATATAACGAGGATTTATCAATTGCAGACTTGCTATTTTTGCGGGATTACGTGTAAGCGTAGCGGAAAATAAGAGTTTTTGAACCTATGAGATAGTCATGTTATTCGTCAATATCAAATAAATCAGATGCATTAAGATCAAAAACATATTGAAACATACGAATGGTTCACGTTCATCTGAAATATCCGTTGATGGTAGCCCCAGAACATTAGTAGCACTACAAACTGCATCGTGAATCGGAATTTCTCTATTTAGAAAAAAGCGATATTACTATGATTATTAATAAATAAAATTGATTTCTTATGAAAGATTTTGTGAACCTTAAAAAGTCGGACGAAGAGATGTCGTAATCAGCAAACAATTGAGATTGTAATAGTTTGTTCTCCATTTTGCCATGACATCCATCATCCTTATTGTTGTTATTTATATTCTGTGTTTGCGTACAGGATCGTATGGCTTTTAAAACATGAGATAACCAGTCTTGGTAGCTTTGGTTCAGGAGACGATCCGCTTCATCTATTATCTTTTATTCGAGGGATTCAGTCAATAAATTATTAGAATATGAAATCGAATTATTTATCATATAATGATATTTTACATACCAAAAAACGAAGATGCTGTAATGTGAAATTAGGTGTCATGGCCAAATGATCAATCAATCTTCCCGGAGTAGCGATGAGTATGTCTATTTTACTGAAACCTCCCAGCAAACTACCTTGAATATCAATTATTATAAAGATTACCAACTGTTGCAATCAGAAAATGAATTATTCAATCACTAATATGAATAATGTATATACCGGAAGTTATTATTATTTCCAATTATTTGTGCTTGTTCGCTCGCGAACGACGTCTGTCCTGTTATCACTCCTATCTTTAGTGCATATAGTGTCATGATCATGAGTAATTTTTTTATTTATGAAGCAAGCTCAGAATTGAGATTACCTTCAAATCAGTGCCCTTACAAAAAGCCTCAAATGTTTCTTTTACTTGAGTAACTAAGTCCCTTGTTGGCAGTACTACAAGTGCACGAAGACGTGTTACAATACGTTTAGATAGGATCTAGAATTATTTTAATCGATCAATTAGAAAAATTGTAACAAACCTAAAGCATAAAAATAAATTAAACAGAATTTTTAATAAAACCTCGATAATCGGAAGTACATATGCTAAAGTTTTGCCGCTTCCCGTTGGTGCCGATACGCATATGTCTCCTGGTGGTGATAGATGATGAGTATTTAATAGTGACCGTGAACTTAAAAGAATGGGGATCACGGCTAGCTGTACTAGTAATATTATATGAAATTTAATTAATAAAAAAAAGAAAATACGAATCATTACAGCAACAGCATACGAAAATTATACCCGCAAAAAATTCAGTTATCCCCAACGCCTTACATCGCGCAATCAATTTCTCCGATAGCCCAAGTCTCTCATCACCTTCGTCATCTTTCTTATCAACAGGTATTGTCTTTTCTGGATCAACGATAAGAGGATACGCTATCCAATCGGTGATTCCTAATCTCTTACTTATTGCCATTTCAGTGGCAGTTTTTTTGGGTATTTCGAATCTCGGAAATGCTTCTAATATATTTTGAGTTAATTCTTCTGATGCTTGTCTTTTATTTTTTATTGAATTGGTCATGAATTCTCCGATTTCAGTAGAATCACGTTCAGAATTGACCTCTGGCTCATAATCAGTCTCATTGATTGAATTATCAGCATTACGGGTGATTGCACTATTCTCACGATCCTCTTTCACTATATTATCAATTAATTCAGTTTCGGCTTTTTGTTTATTTATTGCTATTTTATCCGTAAGCTCCTCGTGTTTTCGCGTGATCTTTTGTTTCTTTAGTTTAACCTCTGCTACTGCTACTTTTTCTGGTGGTTTTTGGTGCTTTCTATTACGGGCAATTCTTTCATTTATTTTTGACAATAATACTCGTTCTTTTTTAATACTGTTATCAACATTATCAATGTTAATTGAATTTATGTTTTTGCTTTCTTTTTGTTCTTGTTCAAGTCCGTATCGGATTATAGGAAACATCATAAATTGTGAGCAAATTCGCGCACTGAATTTCTAGTAACGAATACAGGGAATAACTTGATTTTATAATGACGGGAAAGTGCTTAATCGCGTGATCTTTTCCGAGCCGGTGCGACTGGTCACGTGTAAATGTACTATTCAGATGATATCACTTGATAGATTACTAACAGGAGTGACTATCTATTTTTAGAAAATATTACCCAATTTAATAAAAAAATTTTATATATATTTTACAGTACTTTTTCAAAGACTTGCATCACCAGTAAGAATATTATTGGTTTATTTACTTAAATTGCCAGTTTTTGACATAATTATATTTTTTTGAGTTTTTAAGCAAAATTAATTAGCATAAAATTTAAAAATAAGTTATTTATTATAAAAAATATAATTATTTTGATAAAAAATGTGTAATTTTATTTAAATTATTGATTTAAATCACAGTTTGAACCATTAGTTTGAGCCAGTTTTAATGAAATTGAAATTATATTTTTTATAAAGTTACTAATTAAAATTGTAAATTATATTAATATAAATTAAATTTGTTATAAAAATAATATTAAATTTTATAAAAATAGTTAGCAATTTTATTTAAATTACTGTAAATCACATAAATCACAAAATATTTCTAATTATCAATCTAATTATAAAGATATAAATATACTGTCATTATTTTTAAAATTATTATTTATGATAATATTTCTGAAAAATAATAAATAACTATATTCATATAAAAGATTAAATTACTAAACTATTAAAACTTATAATTCAAATATTAAATAATAAAATAATGGGATTTGATATAACTTCAACAAAAAATTAATAAAATAAAAATAAATAATCATCAAGATTTTTTTGAAGTACTAATAATAATGACTACACAAAAATAAATATAATAGTTATCAAAGCTTTTTCAAAGTATTAATTAATAATAACTATATAAAAATGCAAATATAAAAATAAAAATAAATATTATCTTTTTTAGATTAATAATATGAAAATCAAAATAACATGTCTTTTTGATATTTTTCAAATAACTAAAATAATAATAATACAAATAATAAATAATAAATAAAATACAAATAATAATTTTTTATTAAGATAATATAATTAAAAGATCAAAGTAATATAAATTATAACTAAAAATAATATCTCAATTAATTATGACTTATAGTATTTAATCAGAAAATTATAATTAATTATAATAATTAATTAGAGAATTATAAGCAAGTTACAATTAATTGTAATTTTATTTTTAACCATAATTAAATTTTTATTTGATATTATTAAAGAATATTAAATTAAATATGAATCAATAACTTAATGATAATTTTAAGTTAAGATATATATTACTTATATATTTATTTATATCTCAAAAAAGATTAATAAAATCTAATATAATACAAAGAAAAATTAAATACATAAAAAAAATCAATTAACTTATAAAAATAAAACATATAATAAATTTTAATAAAAATGATTTATATTAAGTATTATGAGTTAATAAATTTATAATTCTAGTATTATATATTTGAAGCCATATTAACAAAGTTAGCAAAATGATCTGAACTAAACTAGTAATTGGATTCTGGCTAAATTAGCAATCTGATCATAATAAAAATAATAATAGCAAAGTAAGCAATTAGATCTTAGTAAAAATAGTAATAATATTATAATAAAAGTAACTTTTGTAGAATTATCAAATATTATAAAAGCAATGTAACTTAGCTAGTAATTAAAAAAAATAAGTTTGACTACTTCAATAGAAATTTGATAATTTTATCACTTTAATAAAGCTTTTATTAGATAACTTGTTAAAGTTATATTTGATATTGGTTTTGATCTTGAAAAATAAATTACTATTAAATAACCAATTATTATATTTAATTTAAAAGATAATCACTTGGAAGACTTATTATTATCTTAAAATTTATAAAGAAACTTAGTAAAATTTTAGTAAAGTTATTGAATATTATTTTAGCTCATTACAATAAGAATACATGTTATCTATCTTTAGTAATAATTATCAATTTTTTCTATTATAAATCTTAGTCTCTTTTATCTTTAATTAGTAGGAATACATGAATAATATATCAAGAATTTAAAGTTTATAAAAATAGTAACAATATAAAAATAAAATAAAAAGCTTTTTATAATGAAAATTTAATTAATATTTACTAATTAAAAAGAAAAAAATTAATTAATTATTCATATCTATTATTACTTATATTGTCACTGATTCAATATCAACTATAATTTCATATAAAGAACACGTGAACAAAAGATGTGGTGTTACAGTCTGGAATTATTCTTAATTCCTTAATTTTGATCATGTGACTAAACATAGATTGTAGCAGAAATAGCAGAGTTCTTAGTTATATCAACATTATTCGCTATATCATATTTATCTGACATATATAACATATCCCACATTGTAATAACTTAGCCATAAATTATTTTATATAAATAAAGGACCTTTTGGATAAA